GTAAGGAGGCTTAAGAGGCGTAGAGTGAATGGGAGGGCAGCGAAGGAGTTGTAAGAGGGAAAGGGATATTGGATGGGAGAGAGGGGTGGGATGGAGGAAGAAGGAAGGAGTAGCGCCTCTTTGCCATCCACCCCCTACACACACATCTCGGTAAATTCATCCTGATTAAGGGGTCATGAGCCGGCACTCAAGTGAGGTGTGCCAGTATCGTATTGCAGTGTCACTAACCTTCCCCCCCCTCACTGGCCCTAAAGTGCCAGGTTTGTATACTGTTAATGTGGTAGATGGGGAAGAGTGCCTTCATGAAAGGAACCAGATGCTGATATCCTTCACTTTTGTATCGATGGGGCGTGGCTCTGATATCCACTTTTTTTGGTTTTACTGACACAAAATTGACACTCTTTCTACTCTCTCTTGTAGAGAGAACCTGGACCTGACGCCTGTCTCTTATTCTCTTGTCAAAGTCTGGACCTGACCTTTCTCCCTTGTCTCTAATGCCATAGTTAACTAAATGTGACTCGATATGCTTCTCCTGCAGCTGTGACTATCACAATGTGACGTCACCTCACATTCACCGCCTTCAGTCACCCCAGACCGCAGGAGACCTTTGGAGATAGTTTAAGCTCTCTGCTTAGCATATCCTACACCTCATAAGGATGTGAGTTACTTATGTCTTTAGTGGAGGACACAGTAGTCTCTGATAAAATCTCGTTAAAATTGCCATATATCATAACTACAGTGTGAGCGAGGCTGCATGATAGCTCTCCACCGTCTCACAGCCCTCTGACCTGTATAGAAGGCAATAACATGAAGACCTGGGGACACTTGTAGGTCGCTAGACACATTAATGTTAGCCTCACCAACACGAGCACCTTGGATGGTGGGCGATTTGAAATATCGCACAATGTTGGTTGTCTCTGTGCTCTTGGCGCCCCCTGGCTTTATCTATTTGGACAGGTTACGTCTGTTAGTTTGTCTTCTGACGACTGGGTACTGTGTTTTGTAGACGGCGGGGTTCAGCTTCCCTGTTACTCGTAACTTATACTTGAACTCTCCACAACGATCAAGAGATCAGGTATAGACTTAAACAAGTATTTCTGCTTTTTCTATGTAGTATTTTTGTATACAATTTGTCCCCTTAAACTTTTTTTTTGGGTGCATACTTTTTTTTTAATTACGGTTTTGATGTTTGTTAATTCTTAGTCTTGTGAAAAGACTGATTAATACTCAAATGACAGCCATCGGCATAGTGAGGCAAAATATATAAATGATTTATAATTATTGCATGTATAATTTGACAAAAAATAAAATTGAAGACATAAATGTTATGCTTAAAGCAAGTCAAATGAGTAGGAAGCTACTTGGGAAATGATGTTACATACAACCGTTGAATAATCCAAGTTTCCCACAATATTATCATTGGTTTTGGGTTAGCTCAGTTTCTTGGTAATAAGGAGATTTTACCTTTACAACCTGTCCACCTGGAGTCGTTCCTTGACCATACATTCAAATGTATCACTGTAGAGGTATTTTTACCTCTACTACGTAGAGTACATTTGATGCCAACTGCATGCAATAATTATTCAACTATTCTTCAACATCAAATTCCTTGACTTGTCAACAAATATGCATGATAACGAAATAATGCAGTACGTTGTGGCTACTCGAAAGGCCACCTTCCCAATTTGCTTATTGGGTCCTAGACCTGACATTTATCCCCTCTGTCTCTTGAAGGGGGTGCCCGGACCTTACATTCCTCCCCTCTGTCTCTTGAAAAGGGACCCGGACCTAACATTTCTCCCCTCTGTCTCTTGAAGATGGAACCCGAACCTAACATTCCTTTCTTCTGTCTCTTGAAGGGGGACACGGACCTAACATTTCTCCCCTCTGTCTCTTGAAGGAACCCAGAGACCTGACACTCCTCTTGTAGGGACCAGGACTAGACTTTGCTATATTTTCTAGTCTCTAGTGACCCAGATCTGATACCCTCCCTCTCTTCACATGCAGGGACCTGACTCCTCGCTCCTCATATACAGGGTCCCGGGGCCTGATATTCCACCCGGCCCCCACCAGAGCGCTTCCCTATTCTCTGATGAAGGGGACTAGTATCTATTTAATAAATATTGGGCTTTAGTTTGTTAGGGGAAATAATTCATGCATCGTTCAGTTATCCTTTTCTTTCTGTGTTTTCAGCATGAATTTGTATAATAATAATAATAATAATAATAATGTCTTCTTTTTCCAGATGACTTACTTTTTTCTATTTTTTTCTTTAGATTCATTTGATTATGTATGCTTTAAGCCATTTTTATCCCCCTTTCCATGCCTTTCTCTCTACGGTCTTCCTTACATACAGTAGTTTGTTTTCTTCTCGCTAATTTTATTCACTTTATCTTTTTCTTGTGTTTTTGCTGGTCTCTTCCCTCCCCTCTGCACCACCACCTTCCCTACCCCCCCCCCCAAGCGTCTGTGATTTAGAGTAGCGTAGCTGACAACCAGTGGCTGTACTTAGTGCTGGTTTATGAGTGTGTGTGTGTGTGTGTGCGTGTGTGTGTGTGTACTCACCTATATGTGTGTGTGTGTGTGTGCGTGTGTGTGTGTGTACTCACCTATATGTGTGTGTGTGTGTGTGCGTGTGTGTGTGTGTGTACGTGTGTGTGTGTGTGTGTGTGTGTGTGTGTGTGTGTGTGTGTGTGTGTGTGTGTGTGTGTGTGTGTGTGTGTGTGTGTGTGTACGTGTGTGTGTGTGTGTGTGCGTGTGTGCGTGTGTGCGTGTGTGTGTGCGTGTGTGTGTGCGTGTGTGCGTGTGTGTGTGCGTGCGTGTGTGTGTGCGTGTGTGTGTGTGTGCGTGTGTGTGTGTGTGTGTGTGCGTGTGTGTGTGTGTGCGCGTGTGTGTGGGTTCCTGCCTACAGATTTGCGCTCCAGCTCATGGACACTGCCGAAACAACCGCCTGTCGTACAATGCAATACCTCAGACCAATGTGCGTCCTATTCACAATATACTGTTAAAATTGTGATCGGAGGTGGCTTCTAGTACCTCCTCTTCTCGTCCATTGCAGTATTCTACTGTTACCTTAAAGGAATAGTTACTCGTACCCCTATTGGCCCTTTCGTGCTGAAGTTATTCATGGCAAACATTTCCACCTTTTCCACCCTGACAATTTCGCTAAGCATTTGGTGTGCGTGTGTGCGTGCGTGTACAAGAGAGAGAGAGAGAGAGAGAGAGAGAGAGAGAGAGAGAGAGAGAGAGAGAGAGAGAGATGGGGGTAAATGATGCGAGAATTCTCCCTCATACTTCTTCATTCCTCCCCTTTCCCCATCACAACCAGATAACCATTCTCCTCCCCCCCACATTCCCCTTCCCTCCTCCCTCATTTCTCTATATATTCTTATCTTTCCATATCCACACTAGCGCTTTCACCCACTCCAGTGAGAAAATCCATCCACCACGGCTGTGAGGTGGGGGGGGGGGGCGAACCTACGACCCGAGCATTGCTAGTCGCGTACTCTACCACTGGACCAGCGTGACTTTTAATGTCACCTCACAGCCCTGGTAGATTTTGTCATTGATATATATATCACGTTAGTGTGATTTCTGGGTATTACCCACTCAATCACCCTCACTATCGCCCACACTAGTATCATTACCCACACTATCACCATCACCAGTACGCTCACCATCACCCTCTTCACCACCAATACCTTCTCCACAAATCGACCACATGTAAGCAATCTCCACACACACTATCACACACACACACACACACACACACACACACACACACACACACAGTGAACCGATACCCACACTGTAGCGACCAGTAACACCATTACTCACACCATAGCCTTCGGTGGCTCCAATACCCACATATCATTAATACAGTTTGCATATTAATCTTCTCTTCGTTAATTTGATCATTCCCGTACCTTTGTCACTCTTAACTGGCCAACAGTACAATAGTAAAACTAAAATATTTATACATCAGTTGCTCCAGTATTCAGTGGCTGATCGACCGTCCCCGTCAAGACCTGACATCGACCCTCCCAAGTCAAGACCTGACATCGGCCGTCCCCGTCAAGGACTGACATCGACCCTCTCCGTCAAGACCTGACATCGACCGTCCCCGTCAAGACCTGACATCGACCGTCCCCGTCAAGACCTGACATCGACCGTCCCCGTCAAGACCTGACATCGACCGTCCCCGTCAAGACCTGACATCGACCGTCCCCGTCAAGACCTGACATCGACCCTCCCCGTCAAGACCTGACATCGACCCATTTATACAAGTTATGCAGTGCTTCCAATGCCTCCAAGATTAGGGTTTCAATAAGCTTCTGCTTGCAATTTTTTCCGCTTTAGAAATATCATCAAACGCTAACGTATTTGATTTTGTTCTTCTCCAAGGACGTATATCCCACAGGTTAAGAGTAGATAATATTTTGCGTGTTGTCGGTGGGTAGAGCAAGCTGCCATTATTATCTTCGGCTGGTGTAGACGACGCCCGCTACTAAATCTCTTTGTGACACGTCGAGCGAGTCGTTGTGGCAGGTTCACCACCCATAAATTGCTATCCAATTTTACGTAAGGAACGATTCATGTAAATAATAACATACATTTAGGGCTTTTGAAAGGGTGGATTCTCTTACCGAGTGTTTGTTTTTCAAGGGCTGTAAATATACGGGCGAGGCGACTGGGTATTTCCTGTGATCACATTAGAGATGTACGTAATGGGGAAAAAAAACACAACAAAAACTCACACCCCGTATGATAATCCCATGTAATCTTTCATATTAATATATCTTTTATTCGGTAATTCTTGTATGTAATCATATTTCTGGCTGATAACGCATCGATATAATGACCCAAATAAGTATGGAGAAGCGGTCTCAAGCAGTACAGCTTGTGAGAGTTACTCTTTTAATTTGAATATCTCTTTCTGCGAGTGTCGTGTCGAATAATATTTCTAGCTGATAAATCCATCGATAAGCTTGCACGAATAAGCACGGAGCGGCGGTCCGGACAGAGGCAAAGTGGCAACCGGGATAGTGTTGGTTGGCGAGGCAGACATTCGCAGCGAGAGTTAGTGTTCTCTGGGTCTGTGCCGGGGGAGGACGCTCCGCTGCCGCTTCTCTCATCTCTGTGTAAGCCTGGCCACTGGCTTGACTTGCTCTGTGAAACATATGTTGATAAATTCGAGGGTCTCAACTTAAGTGGCATTCTAGTGTTAGTTTGGTGGTGGTGGTAGCGATGGACACCTCGGCGTAGACTGTCAACCAAAATATATCATAGAATTTACCATCAACATGTGGTAGTCTGCACGTTGGGCATGAGACGGCGGTGTGCAAGGAGTGAGCTGAAGCATAATTATATTGTGATATACTGAATTTACTCACGGGGCCTGTAAAGTGCTTTTAGTAGTAATATGCCAAGGTGCCCTGATAGTGCTGTCAGGTACCAGCTGCTGTGAGCGCCCCATGAACTTCCACACAACACTTGCCAGCCCAAGACGACGCTGTGAAGTTTGGTATAACTGAATGTTTATTATTTGTGCTGTGGGATAGATTATATTCTCGACGGCAAATCATTTTGGTATCAGTGGTCGTCCTAGAGGACCTGGGAAAGGTAGAACCAGAGGAGTTAGTAGTGCACTATAGTCTTAAAGAGATTTACGATCGGGTAAGGTTTATGATGGGTGTTTAGTTAACCACCGTGACAACACTGTCAGGCCTTGTTAACGTCGGTCTCACACCTCCAGCTAGAGTTAACTTTGTTAAATTTACCCGGAATAAGAAACAAATTAAGATTTTGTCTTATATTTCCCATTCTAAAACGGGTACTATATGGGAATTGATTTATAATATTGTAATAGACTGTGGACGTCTGTAAGTTACGTTTAATATAACAGTTTTTAAATTATGTATTTAGTACGAAACGGTGAATGTTAGCGAGTTGACGTATATATATGAAAGTTCTTTATCTGATATTCTTAATTTCAATTGAGCACAATATGGATTGGATGTATTTGAATCGTTGGTCTATTCTTGATCTAAAAAAAAAAAATCCTAAATTGGAGAAAACTGTTTAGGTCAGGAAAATAACTGACTTAATCTCGTCAGTTATCTGCAGAAGCCCATTGATGATTACATCGCGTGGCTGCGTCGGGCCATTTAAACCATATTTACGATTTGCATTACTTAAGAAAATAAATAATTCGACCGTTTGTGTCAGCCTCCCGCGGTCACGTGCAAGGATGCTTCACATGCGTCGACAATTGACGGCTTTGCTCGAGTGGTGGAGCCATGCTGGGACTTAAAGCCATGCAGTAGGCGGGGGAGAATTTGTGCTTTGAAATTATTGAATTCACTCCCGGATTTGGGGAAGATAACCCGATGCTCTACCCTAGGTAGAGCCGGTCGGCCGAGCGGACAGCACACTGGACTTGTTATCCTGTGGTCATGGGTTCGATCCCAGGCGCCGGCGAGAAACAATGGGCAGAGTTTCTTTCACCATATGCCCCGGTTACCTATCAGTAAAATAGGTACCTGGGTGTTAGTCAGCTGTCACGAGCTGCTTCCTGAGGGTAAAGGCCTGGTCTAGAACCGGGCCGCGGGGACACTAAAGCCCCGAAACCATCTCAAGATAACCTCTCAAGATAGGTGGCTAGTGCAGACTGGTAGACTCATCAAGTGCTTATTCCATGCATGACTAATCATGTGAGATTGGGATATGAGATGAACTTATAGCTAGTTCTTGATCTATACTCTATAAGCCTCAAGTTAGAATAGCGTTGCAGCACACTGCTGGGAACCTATGCATGTCAAAATATGTATACTTAGCAAACGTCGTGCATTCCCATCAGTCACTCTGTGTGCCCATCAGGCCTTGTGCATACCCAACAGGTGCCGTATATACCCATTAGCCGCTCAGTATACCCAGCAGTCGGCGTAAATGTCTATCGAGTATAATGGCCTATTTCACGGGACAGTGCTCTCAGCCCCCCTTCCCCAGCTCTACCCCTTGCCAGTGACGAGTAGCTTCACTGACTATTGTAGAGGAGAAAAGTAACACCATCAAACTTTTAATTTAATTATCGTGTAAGTTATTGCACAGTTAAAGCTCCGAATAAATAGTTAAATTTTGTAACTGCAATGGAGGCTGTAACACAGCTGTTTGTGTTATCATTATTGATATGTAAAGAAAACAATATGGATTTATATTTTGGTCAGTTGGTCATTTGCATCGAAGAAGCTCATTAGTGTCCGATGGGAGTTTAAGCGTATGGTGATATATCTGGCACTTATTGTCTAGTAGTACGTAGTCTACTTCAGAGTAAATGGGGTCTTATGTCATCATTGTTTATACTCGATTAAAAATGTCACAAATTTGTTGTCTCCCAATGGCAATGCATGTTGTCTATGATACTAGATTATTAGTGTATCTGCAATTATATTAATAGTGTCTTTTTGTTGCTTTTAGCAATTTACATTAGGTGGGACAAGATTACACTCAGAACGTTCCACAAATTGTTTATTCTCGGGAGTGCCTGTGACATTTTTTTTTTTTTTTTACACAGTTGTGATGTGTATCATAGACAACTGTGTCTATGATACAGGTATAATATTCCAGTCGTGTCGTGTATCATAGTGAAGTGGATGAGAGTGAGTTCTTCTTTAATGTTTGCTTGAAGGGAAGCGAGGGCATTGGTCGAAGCCCGACCCATACGGCGTGCTTAGTGTCGTCGTCTAGAGAAGTTGAGAGATTTAAAAGGAAAATGGCTTGCTCATCGTAGCAAGCCATTTCGTAGCAACAAATTTCCTTTGTGTGTGGGAAATTTTGATTTGGTGTTTGGCTTTATACATATTAACCTCTGGAGGGATATTGAGGTCATTAACATAGCTTACTGACTAGTCATCAGGTATACTTGGGATATTGAGGTCATTAACATAGCTTACTGACTAGTCATCAGGTATACTTGGGATATTGAGGTCATTAACATAGCTTACTGACTAGTCATCAGGTATACTTGGGATATTGAGGTCATTAACATAGCTTACTGACTAGTCATCAGGTATACTTTAGTCCTAAATGTAGTCCAGAACTATCGTACACCCTCTATCTCCGTTGAGGTTTGATAAAGACCTTTTGTGCCCTCTGTAATCCTTTTTTGCGCTACCGCTCACAGGATGAGTATGGGGTGCACAACAAAGCCAGCCGCCAATCAGATTAAATAATGCTTTTCCTCAAGGTAATTATTTTATTATGGCTTCGTTGATGTAGTAATTCAGGTGAACAAGTAAGGACTTTCTAGGACGTAAGAAAGTGCGCAACGAAGTCATCCACTTTAATCCCAAAGCTCATGTATAATTCAATGCCGCGTTTGTCTAAGCTTATATATATATAATTATATATATATATATATATATATATATATATATATATATATATATATATATATATATATATATATATATATATACATACATTATTAAATCATAAACCTGAATAGTACACAGGACTCGCATAAAGTGAGTCCTGTGTACTATTCAAGTTTATCATTTGATATTTCATGTTCTGTTGCTTAAACTTGGACTAGATGAAATAGTTGACAACATAACCCGAATGCACTCAGGCATGGGGTTGAATGAGTTCATATTAAGTCTTTTGGCCCATACGAGGCCGCTTGAATTTATATCCACCGAAACGCATTCATATAGAGTTGACGAGTTGTAAGTCTGAAAAGTATAATATACAAATTGGGTTTTACTGTGGTTGGGAAATGCTGGCCGTCAGTAGCATAGGACTATGGGCGAGTGGATATGTGGGCCTATTGGCAGTTGCAAGCAAAAGCCTATTAGACCGAGTCGAGCTTGACTCCAGCCCTGGCTCGGGACGTAGAACTCCCGAAACCCCCCACTCTAGGTAAGATGAGAAGTAGCATGAGAAACTTGAAGAGCGTGAGCCTGTGGGCTGTGATGTAGGAAGCAGACTTGGGCTTATGTCGTCGACTGGAGGGTTCACAGGGGTGGGCTTTTTTGTGTTTGTTCCCTTGTGACTGGGTGATGGGCGTGTGTTTTATGAATGGGCGGCGAATGTTGTGTGGGCGTGTGCTTTATTGTTGGGCGGTGGTCGTGGATTATATGTGTTTTTTGAAGTTATTGGTGTATAATACGCGCGGGCTGTGCTAGCCTCGTCCTATCAGCCTGTTCTCTGGCCACAACGTACACAATTCACAGTCCTAACCTGACCAGAAACACCTAAAACCCAAGCCACCCACCTAACCTAACGAACCCATACACAGAAGACGTGGATTTTTGCGACCCGCTACTTTTCATCTGGCGTAGTTTGTGGTGCGTGGGTTATCATAGCGTAGCATTACACAGCAGTAGTTGAGAGGGTGCGTTGGTCGTGTGCTGTGGCCGGAGGAGCGCGTCTGTTGCAGCTGTGGGCGGGTCGTCTCGCAACTCCAATTCAATTTTTTTAATTTCTTTCTTTATTATGCACCCCATACCCATCCCTTGGGCGGTGGTGGAAAGGGTTACAGAGGCACATAATCGGCTAAAAGAACAATTTTATATAGTTTATATTTATTTATTAGCAAGCATAGGTATACATAGCAAATGTGCTGGTACCCTATTCTACATGAAAGATTACATAGTGTAGATTAAAATAATAGCTATGAGTTTATCTAATATTCCTATCTCACAGGATGGTTAGTCATACATGGAATAAGGAGAGCACATGAAATGCGAGGCTGATCTATTAGTCTGCACCAGCACACTGGTTACAGCACAAGCATATCTTCCAATATTCCGGAGTGAATGAAGTAGTTACACAGCTCGAGGTATTTCATACCATTTGGTCTGAAATTATTGAGAACATGGAGGGAGGGTAATTATCAAGGGAAAGCGCAAAGCCATTAAGACTATATAGCGCTTGGAAGGAAGGGGTCAGGATAAGGATTTGGAATGGGATGGGGGAGGGGGAATGGTGCCCAGTCACTTGGATTGTGTATACACATACACACACACACACACACCAGTTGATTGATAGTTGAGAGGCGGGATCAAAGAGCCAAAGCTCAACCCCCGCAAGCACAAATAGGTGAGTACACACGGTCGGTGATTGAACGTCGACCTGCACG